TTTTACCAGCCTGTTAGTGGCGATGATTCGCTGTTGGTCTGTTGAAATAAAATAACAGCAAAAAAATGGGCTCCCACCCTTCATTTCTTAATAACTTTTGAAGAGAATTAATTTTTTACTCGGTACAAACATGGAGCTTACTTCCAATTTACAAACAAGTACTCAGATGCAAAACAAACAGAAGCAGGAAGTCATTCAACACATGTTTATTATCTTAAAGTCTTATTCCATTCACATGACAGAATTATACTAAATATTAACAAATGGTACCAAGGGTATCTGCAAGGATACAGTATGTCAGTCATGAAAATGCATTGCATTGTAAAAATACCAATCGCTAAAAACACAGACAACAAGAATGCCTGTATTTCATTTTTTGGTAACTTTTATTCAGACCGTAATCCTTGTACAGTTCCCGAGATGTTTAGCAACGATCTGTTCTCATGGTAACAGGGCATTGCTTATCTCATACTTTGGCATCGCACCTATATTCACTTTCTGTATATCGTTTGTACCAAATGTTTTTTATTTAGTTGTGTTTGCGACAAATTTAGCAAAATATTTAACATAGAGTAAAGTCTTCTGTCATGTGAATATTAGTTAATGTTTTTGATTAAAAGTAAAATATTTACAGTGTTACAGTATCTTGATGCTAAATGCCTCTTTTCATTCGAGTAGACTTTTTAGATTTAAGTAATTTAACTTACTAAAAATTGTTATGATAAGATTACTTTTTATTTTAAGTACATAAACCCATTGCCAAATAGTGTTTCACATCACAAATCACACCTGTATCTATCAATTAAACGTTTATACCCACAATGCTGTCCAAGCCTTTTCCTATCCACAAAATTAGATGCAGAGAGGTTGCTTACAAGTCACAGTTTGTTTACTACACTCAAATTTCCATATATTTCTATTACTTTTCAGTAAAGCTTTGGGTTATTCACAGACTGCTGTAACACAAATATAAACTTGCGTGTTATCTTCTGTGATTATTTTCTATCAGTTTAATTATTGATATCATTGCAGCATAATAATTTTAAATTAGTGATAATAAAACCGTATATTTTGTAGCGCATAATGGATCACAGATCTCTCTAGGCACTTTACATAAAGTCTTAAACTATGGTGGAAACCTATCCTCCGCTGGTCACTAACCCGGTATTTCTGATTTCTTTTTTCGGAGTAATTATTATTACATGGAGTAATTAATAGCAAATCGTAGCTGTCAGTCTTCGAAATAGATATGTACAGTGCAGCACCAAATGTTCTTGTAGAGCTTGGAAAATTACCATGCTACAGTAGATAGTCAAAATTAATCAAGCCGCCTCAAGTTTCATAAAAGTGCTATATATTCAAGGAGTCCTTGCCCTTTTCACCACACAAAGGGCTCAACTGCTGGACCTTAGGTGGCTTGCCAGGCCCCAGCCTACATTTGCTTGCTTTTTCACTCCCTCTCCCCCCCCCCCCC